AACCATGCCTATTTCACGCAGATTCCTTAATAAACGTAAGAGTTTTATATGTCACAAGAAAGACAGATATATAAGCTTCGTTCTAAATACCTTATGGGCATATTTAAATTTAAAGCGAAGATATGTGTACTTTTATAATAGCCGAGCTCCGACTCCGGACAGATCGATCGACGGAGCAACTCTCTCTCAGAACAATGTTTATTTCACGTAAATTTGTAAATAATCGTAAATTTTTTATATGCCTCAAGAAAGATAGGAATATAAGGCTCATTTTAAACACTTTATCATAGACATAATTAAAGTTCTAATGAAGATTCATGTATTTTAATAATCGCCGAGCTCCGACCCGCGCATAGACTGAGCGACAGAGCAACTCTCTCAGAAGAATGTTTATTTTACGTAAATTCGTTAATAAACACAAATGTTTTACACGTCTTAAGAAAGATAGAAATATAAGCTTTATTTTAAATACATTACATTAGACATATTTAAAGCTCAAGTGAAGATATATATGTTTTCATAGTGGTGTTCAGTAGCTTTTCGGTCATGGACCTAGATTCAGGAAGCTCTGTGTATTTCTTCGTAAGTGGGTTTGCTACGAAGGTTCCTAAGTGCGCCCTAAGAAGATGCTTAGGTGCGATTCAATAAGGTATACTTAGGAAGAAAATTGTTGGTTCACCTGCGTGCCGATAGAGGTCACTACTGTGTTTCGTTTGGCCAATCAGAGAGCAGCAACATTCTTCATATTGAAGATTTAGCACTGGCTTATCGGAGCTCTACTGCCTCCTATTTACGTCGAATTTTCTTATAAAATTAGTATATTTCGAAGTAAAACAATGTTTTTTCAACTTCTACAGCCAGCACCGACATTGTAGTAAACAAATATGTTACATTTGTTGTTTACCTACGTAATTCTAAGAGATACTGTGTAGCTGTCCTTGTTGCTCGGAAGATGCGCTGACAATTATTGTATATATTTACTGAATATACCCAAGGGCCACTAACTATCTAGTGACCTCGAAGAGGACAGAAAGCCGGCGGCTTGTTAAAGGGCCCGCCAATTGTCTTAATGATATTGTTTAGCTGGAATTTGTCATTTACGGCTATAGCGGGTAGGCGGTTCCATGGTTTATAGCCCTCTTGGTGGAAAAAAAAATCTTTTCAGTCCTACTTGAGAGAACATACTCTCCAACACTATATCTGTGATTGTCCTGTTATCAGTGACTTCATACCAAATGGTATGAGGTATTTTGAGCTCTGTAATTACTTCATACACTCAGGAATATTGGAAGATATTCTTGTGCTGCACCCTGATTTTGCCAGTGGAGGCTAATAGATCAGCATTAAGTATTTTGTTCTCTCCTAATTCCATGTATGACTGGCCATCCTGTGAGGTGAGGATGTTGGGTGAGCTTGTAGCTGGTTTTTTATCTACACTGTGTGGTCCTTTATACAGAATAGGGAAGCAGCACATTGCTGTGTATACCTAAACATGTTTAAAAATACATTGTTTGAGAGGAGTCTTGTAGAAACTGGTAAGAGTAATTATAATATAATGTTTCCATGATTCAGTGCTTACCTCTTGTGAAAATTGCTTAGAATTGTTTAGTCAGAGTTGATTTGTTTTTTGTATTGAGGCTGGTATTTTCTAAATTGATTCCATGTACAGTATGTCTAACCATCCTGTGAGATGGGAGTATTAGATAAACTTATAGCTAGTTTTTTATCTACACTGTAATATTCCATATAGAATAGGGTAGCAGCACATTGCTGTGTATACCTAATCTTCTTAATAAAAAAAATCAGTAATAAAGATTTTAAATTATAGTTTGTATTATTACAAATACAGTACTGTATTATCCTTATTAAATCATGTTGACCATGGATCATTAAGATCTCATGTTGATATGTAATACAAGTCATATTTCTTTTGAACTGCTAATCCATGCTAATCATTCATTAAATTGTGCATTATGTCTCAATTTTTCACTTCCTTGGATATACTGTACAGTACAAAAAGATAGGATAAAAATAAACCAGTAATATTTCTTTCATTATATTTTTCATTTAAATAACTGCATCAATATTTTTACAGCTGACAGGATTTGTTTTTCCATACAGGTGCATTATTTGTTAAAAAAAAATTGGTTTATTGTTACACACAATGGTGCTACATAGCCTTCCCAGCTTGGTGCCTTCTTTTAATACTTACTGATTAAAAAATAAATAGTAAATACATTTTATTCAGGAAAAGTACATACAGTTGATTTACAAACATAATGTTGGATTTATAGGCAGAGCTAGTACATACAATACCTAAAGCCACTAATACTCATAGCATTTCGGGCAAGGTGTGGGGGGAAAAAACACAGACTAAAACTTAATAGTAATCGGGATTAGGTATAAATTGTGTTGAAAGAAGGAATAAAAAATACAAAAAGGGGGTTAACATAGAATAAATCAGCAATTGCACATGTTGGTGAACAGCATTGTTTAAAAAATAGCAAGACATGGGTTGACATTTAGGAGGTAAGTTAGGTTACATGGAGTTAATTAGGCAGTACTTGGTTTAACTCTTAAACTGGTTGAGAGAGGTACAGCCTTTGACATGATTCGGGAGGTCATTCCACATTCTGGGTCCCTTGATTTGTAGAGCACTTCTAGTTTGGTTACACACAGCCAAATTGAGTAACAGGAAGAGGTCTTGGACAAAAATTTGTTCCATGCTAAATATAGAGGAATCAGCTGAGTATTCCTCAAATAAAATAAGTTGCCTCAGCTTATAAGGTAAATAAAATAAGCATTTCTCAAATAAGTAGCTGCCTCACCTCACTGCCTTACTGCTACATAGCCTTCCCGGCATGGTGCCTTCTTTTGATAATTACTTGTTCCACACCCAAATTGTATAACAGGAAGAGGTCTTGGACCCCTACTTCCCTCTCTCTTTTTTAGTAGTCTATATAGTCATAATTATAGCTTTAAGTATTCAATGAATAAAGTTTTTGACATTTTTACCCTTTTCCTTACCTAACATCATTTGTGCAGCATATTTTTATTTTATGTCTCACCCAGATTTAATTTCAAAATAAAACCAAACTAAATAAATTAGAAATGGGTATGTATAGCTAAGGTACACCCTTGCTACTAGGTGAACAGGGGCATTTGGTGATAGTAAATGATCCCATCAGGCAGGGCTCATCACCTTCTCTCATATTTCATGTTCACCAGTGTTTATTTACTTAATAACTACTGGTATAATATCTTGCTATTATAAAACTAATTCTACTATCATCAAACACATATTTACTTCAAGTTTCAAGCAGAGAATGCATATATAACTAACACGAAGAATTCCTCTTCACTAGATTCACCAGCTATAATATTTTGGTCATGTTCCAATATCATAAATCGATCCCAGTGTTATGTAGTAGAGAAAAAATGACTTATATCCAGTTTACGTAAAGCTACGAGTGGTCGAAACCACACTTAAATCCCGGAATGAACTTACGAAGGTTTTTCCACTTAGGGTAGTTAATTGAATACAGACGTAGCCGCCACGAAGGCGCTAAGACGGAAAACGCTCTTAGCTAAGAGGAAAAACCTTCGTAAGTACCTTCCTGAATCTGGCCCCTTGTCTACTAGGTGAATTTTGTATCTGGTGATAAGTGTCTTCCTTTATTTTCTTATCTCCAAGAATGGTTTGGTACCTTCTTTTGATAATTACTTATCTCCAGGAATATGAGGTTTAATTCCTCTAATGATTTTATTTTCAGGTATCATACCTCAATATTGGTACTAGTCTGGTGGTATAGCTTGACTCTTTTCTCAGCTTTGTTTTGTATTTAGCAAGATAAGGACTCCAGTATTTCCATTTATTTTTCTGATTCTGGGTATTTCCAGAATTAGTCTTGACCGATGTGGTATACAGTACAGTTATGGTCAACTCCTCTTTTGGATTCCTAAAAGGAGTTCTGATGTTGACTAATGTTGCATATGCAGCTTAAATATTTGATGTAGGCTTCTAGTTACAAGTTCAGTGTAATATAAACCCTCAGATATTTTTGTTTCCGATTCCATGAGGGGTTTCCTCTCAACTTTGTACCGTGTATCCAGCATCCCCTTCCCAGCTAATTTTGTTTAATTACTTTGCACTGAAGTTAAACTCAAAAGTCATCTTGTTAAAACATTCTTTTAGTTTAGATCATACTAGTTTTTTAATACATCATTGGTGCCCACATAGATTTATTTATTTATTTATATACTGTATATACAAGAGGGTACATTAGGGGTTAAGACATTACATAGTACAGTAATGATGATGATTTTACATTTTTGTAAAGTCACTAGCATGCATAGCATTTTGGGCAAAAAGAGAAATAAGATGGGATGGGAAGGAGCCATTTGTAAAATGCAACTATATTATGGATCTCAGCTTTACTATGGCCGTGTTGTAACCAGACTATGTCGTCGATGTAAAAAGAGGCTAAGAGTTCTAAAGGCTTGAAAAAATGCATAACCTGTAAGTACCTCTGTTGTTCCAGTTTCTTTTGACCTGGAAAAGGCTTATGATGCCACCTGCAAATACAATGCTTTGGCCCAGCTGCATTCTTTTGGTCCCAAGGCAAATTGATTGCCCTTGTGGCAATCTACTGCTCTTCCTTCAGAACTTCCTCTCTTTCATTAATTTAGGCTTGATACCACCTTCTGACTTTTTTTTTTAATAATGTGAAGCTGTTCCCAAGGTAGTATTCTGAGTACAACTAATTTTTTTTCCCGGTTGCCCAAAATGGTCTTCCTTCCTCCGATTCCCCTTGGCATTTTCTCAATACTTTGTTGACAATGTTCAAGTGGTGAATGTAAAGCATTAATGTGTTTCAGTCCTGCATATACTGAAATTGTGTATGTGATTCTGGATAGGTAAGGTAAAAAAGATTAGCATCTTCAGCCATAAACCGATATCTAAAAATCCAGTTATTAAAGGGCCAGGAATAAAAGAAAGCTTCAACATACTGATTTATTAACGTGAAGAACAGACATGGGAATCTACACACCTTTCAAAATACAACATAATTTCAGCCATACCGCTTTGAACCAAGGAAAAATCTTAATGCTAATGATACAGGCAAAAGTATTTAATGTAGATATTTATTGTTAGCAGTTCAATACTTTTTCTCCTGTATGAGATGTGATCAACAATAACATATCTTGCAGAGTGTTTCAGACACAATCACTCTCCCCATAATTTTTTGTATAAGATCCTGAGCCCAATACAAAGCATTGCTTGGGGTTGATTTATCACCAATTACTATACTTCTCTATTGTAGCAAGAGCAGCATCTAAAGATCTTGACGACAAAAGTAGATAAGGCTAAAAAAACTGAGTGGTTCCTCAATGAATATCAACCTTATAAACTTTTTTTTTTATATAATGCTCGTTAGCCATATACTTCATAATATGAACATCAAACTAGTAGTGCATGCAATGTATCTGGGAATTTGCCTGAAATACTACTACACTAGACATTTCAGTTGCATTAAATCCCTATATACATGCTAGATGTACAATATTAATATTATTTATTTCCAACTAAAGCCTCAAGCTCTCTAACAATTAATTATAGTGCTGCACCTCATTCAAATACACAGCACTCAAGTCTAATAAGATTAATATTAAAAGGCAATATTCAGTAACAAAGTAAGAAATTATTTGACATACCCATGCTAAATGCATCTCATCATGAATGTTAAGCAATGGGAGTTTTGGAACAAATAATTTTTATTCATGTGTCACTAAACCTCACCATCGTGTTTATCAATGTACAACAAGGACGAATCAACAAGGGAAACAACACCTGACAAAAAGAAGGGGCTGGGAGAAAGTGGCAGGTTGGTAAAACCTATCGAGGCTTTAAGTATTAAAATTTGACTTTCTAAGAGCTTGTCACAGCTGACCACATCTCTCCACAACCTCTTCAACTCTTCACACTTTGGGTGGGACTTGAAGTCAATATAAGATAGAAAGCAATTTCTTTACAACGTCAAGTGAGATTTCTGAAGGTTGACTGGATGGCAGTGACACAATCCTCCAAGATTCGATAATTTAGGTTAATTCCATGCTATGCAGAAATATCTTAGATTGGAATAAAGAAGGAAGAATCCAATGCCATCTGCCAAAACAATCTATTGGAACAATCATGCTATGTCAGATGATTCAAGCAAAACAGCAATAGTTACAGACAGTAAGGTTCTTCCCTGCTTTAAATGTTGAGATCCATGAGAAGTATTCTACTATACTGCATTTAACAAGAGCACAAATCTGGTTGCTAGTATTTCTAGCTTGATTCATTAGCTACCTGACTTCTTTATGTAAATAATATGCATTTCTGAATTAGTGTGTTTCATCTGGAACAGGGAAAACAAAAACAAAACTGTTGGTCCTACTCTCATACCCGCATAGTTGTAGACTGAGAAATGTGCTTAAAATGTTCCACATTTTCCTGTGTTGAAAACACTTCAAAGAATGCCAAAAACTACCTCAATCAAATTACCAACAATGGTAAGTTGCATGTACACCACTTAATAATGATTTACCCTATGTTGAAAAACCAACACCCAATTTTAAATTACAAAGAGAAGCAAAACACAGGAGAATGAGCAATAAGAAGAAATCCCTGAGAAGTATTGCAAAAGGAGCCTAGAAGATTGGTGTCCTTGGTTTATAGCTACCATAAGTTGCTGTCCTTTTTTTTAATAGAAATATGCACCTAACATTAAATATTTTTATTATCTCATTCAAAGTTGACTGTAGAATGTGCAGATGTCACTGAGTATGTGCCTTGATGACTAATTTCAAGATTAATTTGAATCAATACTATTATGTATTCACATCATCATTGCATATACTACAAATTCAGGGAATTTAAATGCAATGAGATGAACATAAACACCTAACTAAAACAGACACACAAGGCAAGTATTCAGAACATTACACAAACCGTCTGTGAGCAGAGACGGTATTTCAAAAATGCATCTACATCCAATGATACAGAATATCACCATTGCTTACTGTCTGTAACTGTGGCTATTACATTGTGTTTGACTTAACCTGATGGTGTAGAACAGCTTTTTTTTTTCTGTTATCACTTACCGGAAATGACACGGAGATAAAATTATGAGCCATATGAGGTACTGCAAGTGGGACTTGGTCCTGTTTAACACAGGAGAAACAATACCCATTGTGGTAATGGCCGAGTTTGAACATGAACCCCTTCTGCAGCTTATATCAAACTAGATGGTAACTGCAGCAAACATCCTGACTAATATAGTCAATAAGAGTAAGAGGTTCATTGCTTCATGCAGCAGGTTGAAGTCAGTCCTGAAATTCAGCTCGAAGACTCAAAAGCCACTGATCATTTACCAGTTAACAACAAAATGGTTTGCCCGAAGACATGAAGTATGCTAAATTGAAATGCCCTAATTATGCAAAATTACCCATAAAAATCAACAAGGTAATTCACAATGTGAAAATAGAGGAATATATAGTCTTAAAACAATGAAAAATTATAATAAATTTTGCTCCAACATACTGAATAGAAATAAACACTTAACTAGTAGCCCTACTTAACAATATCCTAACATTTATTTCTTAAAACTCTTGGTAAATCTTCATAATTATAATAGAAAATCCAATGAAGAAAACAAATTCTGAACTAAGGACACCAGTTTATTTAATGCCCAGTTCAGTAATAATTAGTAAGCAGATGAAATCAATAATGCAGCCCATTTCTAGATAGTCCAATTTGAGGCACTCTCACCTGAAACCCAATGATGACAAATGCTCTAACTGTGGTTCAAATATACATTTTAAAACGTATATATATATATACAATAATCATACTTTAAATTTACAAATTTTTAATTGAAGTTTCCAGCATGACCCACGACTATAAAGCACGAAGAATGTTAACATGATATCTCTTGAGCCTCGTATGTAAACTATCCAGAAATGGAAATAAGATAAAGGTGGAAGTATCAACGTAGATAACAGACGTGCCAACTCCAACAAGACACTGTTGTACCGGTATGTGAATCTCCTTGGTTCAGTCCTCAACAGTGAAGACGGGGAGAGAGAGAGGCCGAGAACAAGAACATTTTTGAGTGCCCATCTATCTAATATCACAATGCAGACAACTGCCCAGTTTGATTCAGTGACCGTAACAGTAAATTTATATTAGCCATCACAATGGGGGTTGAAATTTTAATAAAGCAGATTTAGATATATGAAGTGCATAAATGGTAATTACAGTAACTGTTACAGTCACATTTTAGTTGTAAACTTACATAAGACTTTAATATGGGTCAATTTTGAGTCACCCAAAACTCAACTAAAAAAAAAAAAAAAAAAAAAAAAAAAAATCAGTACTGCTGATGGACTCGACTTTCCATGAGGGAAGCGTATACGTATTCTGAACACGATTTGGATTAACTGTATCGTGTGTACTTGGTGTCATTCTCACAATACTAATAGCCACCATCAGACCTGCAACATACCTCCAGAAAATGATTGAAAATATTTAAATTTGTGGGTTTTTACATTTTGTCATCTTTGAACACAGATTTTGAAATCCTTCTTGTGTATTACATAGCTCTGATAATGGCAATTAGAAATGCTGAAGTATTACCAAATTAACATTCAGTTTATCCCAACATTGGTCTTCATATAAATTGGTGTTAGCAATATTACAAGAAATCATTTATGATGAATACAGGTACAGTATTTATAAAATAGTCCACAATGCAGGTAAGTTTGTTACTACAATTATACTCTGTTTACTGAAGTGAGGGTATGAAATCTAATTATGAATGAAGCTGCTGCCGTTATGTTTTGACATTATTCATAAGTATGTGTACACAAAGAACATGAGGGGAAGGGACAATTGTAGGGACAGGAGTTATGCATAAAAATGAAGCCACTAATATGCAAAGCGTACTCTACAGTACCATTGTTTTGACGTAATATTCTACAGTACAAATTATTACCGATTTGCAAAATCTCGAAATAATACATGGCAAAATCTGCAATGTAAGTTTAAATAGAATAAAAACAAACTGTTTTCTCTTTAATAAATATGCTGTTGTCTTATGCCTTGGAAAAATATCTAATTATTGTGTTCTACCTAATTTTAGTTGAGGAAAATTTTTATATGAAAGGGGCATAATTTATTTTTCTTTTCGTATTGATTTTTGCAAATTCTTTTATGAAAACGAATTAGAAACGAAAGTATTGTTTTCCCCATTCTCATTCATTTATTTTTTGTTAAATGGAGCATTTATTTAATGCAATGACATGTTCAATATTTTACAGTTTTAGATCATATGCATCCATAGAAAAATATACAATACATTTTTTATGACAAGCAAAGAAAATGATAAAATACTCAAGTTCTCATACCACCACTTAGTAAACACAGCATGATCAGAGTACCACCACTTAGTAAACACAGCATGATTTGAGTTTCACCGTCATCTCACACACACTTCTTCTATACAGACATTTTGTATTCTCCAATACTACTTGAGCATTGACCAGCATTCTCAGTTGTTGGCAAACCATCAGTATTAAGTAGAATTAGTCACTAAACAAATATCAAAGATGATTGCTTAGATCTTCATCTACTACTCAAGGGCCTATGAGCAAAGGGCCTAGTCGTTATCATTCTTTAAAGAAAAAGTATCTATGGAGATGCCTTTGCATCTTTCAAGCCTTATAAAGTGTTATTTACAGCAATAGTGGCGCATATAAGAAGGTAAACCCGCACTGGATACAAGTATCACGTCAACACAAACAACTTAAGCATCGTCATCTCCATAGCTAGTGACTTGGGTGATTCAAAATGTCTCAGAAGCCAAAGTCAATAATTACACAAAAAGTGAGTTCAACCACATCTACACATAACTATGGCAATTGGATCTATGGCGCTATAACAGCCGAGGTGACATCCTGAATTATAACAGCATATTGTATATATAACATTAGAATAAGGGTAATATGATTTGCTTGTATGAAAAGAAATAGCGATTGGTTTTATGACGAGGTAGATTCAGCCGTCCTCAGATGATGTAATACCCTCCAAATATAGCCTGAATTGTTGTCAACTTAAGAATGGTGTCTTACCCGAGTCATGCAGCCTCGAGCATTACACCAAACTTAAAGATCATAGGTCTAGAAGTGACAATCAAAAATTATGTAAACAAGAACTCAATAAATACACCAGCTTCAAGTAAGATAACATTTGATCTTCACTTCAAGACCTTAGAAATACTTGAGACTTACAAGGCCACCTGATACATATCCTGAATTCCATACTGTAATTCTGTGTACTGGGTCCCTGCTAGGCCACAAGCATGTTCCCAGGGTAAGCCTCGGGTGGTCTACTGTTGAGAAAACAAGCTTTTTGAACAGATACATGTAAACTTATCTTCAATTTTAATTCTGTTTCCTACTAGTTGCTTGTTCTAATCAACTACTAATCTGTTGTAAGAAACTTTCAGAACATTAAGGGTTAATAATGGAATCTGTTTCATCTACATGGGTACTCTTAGTCAATTTCTCATAAACATGCTAGTCTGTTACACTGTCACCTTTTCCAACTGTGGAAGCACATCATCAATCAATGCTCTGTTGCAAGTCAATTGCAACATATTCAACCCTAAATCACAGACAAACACTTTGCATTCTCTTTTTACCTGCCACATGCCAAGCCTTAAAGTAATAAGACTTGATTACCTTGGCTGAGTAACCATGGGTTACAGGCAGTTGTGCAAAGGTACACTCATCATTTACCATTATAACCACTATAACGTGGTGAGTTTAACATGGCAAATTCTCCCTACACACTACCCTAACATACTTCTATCAGTGGGCCAGCATTAAGCTACAACGGTCTCAGAGTTGAGCTCACATAGGGTAGCAGGATCTGTACCATCTGCTTTACTACCATCCACGTCCATAGCTTGAGTGGTACTTGCTGGCGCTGTGCTGCTGGTAGCAACAACTGTCGGAACACTAGTGTCAGTGGCCCATGATGCAGAAGTGTGGGGGTATGGGCGGGTACGAGCATCCCGACGAGCCTTACGTCGGGCACGTCTTTGCTCCATTATCAATCGCAGCTGTTCCACTTTTGTACGCATTGCTTGATTCTCATCTCCCGAATCTGCAAATATTATATACTATTACAGCCTTGCAAAATTTCACAATGAAGAGTATCATACCAAATACCATTTCATCATTAAATAAAAGATCAATGAAAGTAACAAATCTTAACACTTTCGCGCTCTCGGCGCTCAAAATAAAACAATACCCCAGATGCTTTCGGCACTTCGCGCGCCTACGCGGTAAGACCGAAAAAGTGTACACTCTTTTGACTGTCCTGACAATAATTGAAGGCGCACGTATTTAAATTTGGTATCACTGTGTTCGCAATGAAATTGTCTATAAAAGCATACCTATAAAATGCCGCCTAAGCATAAGGAGTATCAACACCAAATAAAAAACTATGCAGATCACTCGCCGAGAGCGCCAAACAGCAACAAAATGTTTCCACTCTCTTAATGGTTGCGAAGCCTACAGTTGTCCTACATCGCTAATTTTGGTATCATTGGAATCGCAATAAAATTCTCTACACGGACATATGCATATGAATGTTTAATATAGGTAATTGCCCACCCTCAAGAGTGTGTGAAGTGGAGAGTTGTTAGCCGCGAGCGCACTGGCGAAAACACGGGGGAAATCATGCTTGGAAAGTTTATACGTTTCCTGACCCTACTTTTCTATGTACGTATTTCTTTTTTATACCAATGTGTTCGCAATAAAATTTTCTATAAGATGAACTGTATAACATTTGTACAAAGCATGTGTAAGAGAAGCGCCAAATATAGAACCACGTCGCTCAGTATGCGTTCGCGGCAGAAACGAACGCATTGTTTTCGTTCGTTTGATGTTTGTCATGTTTATACTTGTTGAAACATTTTATAATTTGTATGACAGTGATCGCAGTAAAATTCCCTACACAGACATATACATAACACATACAAATATTTCCCACGTGTTGGATATATCAACGGCTAAAGGGAACCCACTGCCACACGCTCGCCACACCCCCAAACATACTTTGTATTTTTTTTTTTACTCATAGAAGTTTATGTGATATAATATTTATTCTGGTACCAAAATATTCGCAAATAAATTCTCTACAAAACAAAAGTATCCCCATCCATTTCGGTTAAAAAATGGAATTTATAGAAATATTTTTTTGATGGACGAGAAAAGTAGCAGTTATGCGGAATCGTAAGAAAAAACGGCGACGAGTTATCTCTAATCTAAAGCACGAAAGTGTTAACATTTATGAAACTCCTACAATGTTTTATAATTAATTAATTTTAGAGTATGTAAGGAAATTAATTTAAGTTGTGATGTAAAAACAAATGTTTGTTATTATATATATAATATATAATATATATAATATATATATAATATATATATATATATATATATATATTATACTCTGTACAATATTATATATATGTATGTATAATCAGAATGTACTGCATGTGAAAAGCAGCTTCCCCAGGATACACTAATTTTGGTAAGTTCATGTTCCTGGTTGACATTCTACATCTGTGCAACAACATTTGTATTTAATCATTCCTATCTGATCATACTTGTGCAAAAATAACTACAAGAGAAAATTGATTCAGCCCAGAATGACCTTTAGAAAGCTCGGCATACACACAAATCCCTTCGAAGCACCACTGGCATCACTGGAACTATCAAGACAGGCTCTTGCTAACCATCTGTTGACCCATCTGCCTGTTACCCTTTAACATCACCAGATTGCAGCAACTACACACAAAACTGGGTTTCCTTGACTGCTCACACATCACAACTTCCCAGACATGAACTGCAGAGAGTAAGTAAGAGAATGGGAGCAACCGCGTTCCCTGCTCAGATTGCATTTCGTATACAGTACACTGAAAACCTGATTTCCAAGCCATACCTTTCAGTTACTCCCTCAAGAGTTGAACTAGGAGGTGAAATGACTTCACAAAAACAGAAAGGGACTTTACTATACTTGCTGCAGTGTGGTGCAAGTTGGTGCTACAGATAATGAAAATGCCCGTATTCCAGTAATCCCAAACATCTTGATCCCTAAAATCCTGCTCAAAAAGATGAACCCCAAGAGTGAAATCATAAGGAGATAATGAATGTAAATAAGATTAAAATCCCCCCCCCCCCCCGAGATCCGAAATCAAAATAGGTCGTGACAGAAATAATGCCTTAAGGGGGCATAGTTCTGCAAACTATTGGTGGGCTGAGTTACATCATTCTGTACAGCAGCTAGGAGAGCAAGACCTTAGTATAGAGCAACAAGGAATGGGGAGTGAAGAGCAAGGAAAGCCTTTAAGAGGCTGTAATGGCACAAGACCATGACCTGAGAGGCACAGATGGCTGGACATCCAAACTCAAACCACTATGGACACTCCAATATGAACTCAGATTAGCCAAAACTGAGGTGTTAGAGCACACACACACAATTGTGCCCCCTGACCAAAGGAGATACATATACTGTGTATAAGAATTAGAAATTGACTCCCAGTAGTTAAAGTGGAGATAAGACATGCCCCTATGCAGCAGTATCGTGATCATGGAATTGAGCCACAACACACTGTTTTCACACGGATTCAGAGGTTCACCTGAGGGGGGAGCTGAATGTATCGCATATCCACAAGTTATATTTGGTAAATCACCAAAGCGCCGAGCTATTACGAGACAAATATGTAAAATACCCGAGATGGGTGACAGAGGCCACTAGGGGTCTTAATCTTGAAAAAGACTCCAAAGGAAATCTCCAACAAAGGATAACTCTCAAGACCAGGGAAGTATATACAACGCAATCACTAAGCTCTGTCCCCGCTTCCTTCACGTCACTCTCCAGTCTCACTTGGTCCTTTGAACATAAAAATAAAATAATATATACATGAAGATACTTGAAGGCCAGGTCCCAAATTTGCACAGTAACATAATGCCATACTGGAGCAAAAAGTATGGAAGGAAATGCAGAATAGAACCAGTGAGGAGTAGAGGTGCCATAGGCACAATCAGAGAGCACTGTCTGAACATCAGGAGTCCACAGCTGTTCAAACCCCCTCCCAGCCAGCATTAGAAATATTGCCGAAACAAAGGTGGATGTATTCAAGGGGCACTTGGACAGATTCTTGCAAGAAGTGCCAGACCAACCAGGCTGTAGTTATGTGGGCCTGCAGGCCACTCCAAGCAACAGCCCATTAGAAAAAATTATTGCAAGTCAAACTTGGCCTCAGGTCGGGCTTGGTGAGTAGAGGAACTATCAGAACCCCATCAAGCAGGTATCTTGAGATGATTTCAGGGCTTAGTGTCCCCCATGGCCCGGTCCTAAACCAACCTCCTTTTTGTTACACTCCCCCTTTCCCCCCAAGCAGAGAGCACTGCTTGGTACTTCCTGTGATGCCAAGTAGTGCTTAAAAGGAGTTTTTAATACATATGAATGAAAATGTCAGGCCATTTCAAGCTGAATCAAGTCTTCTTCAATGTCTCCCTTGCACCAGCATGACCTGATTGGGATGTTTGAAAACATCCTGTTGCCAAATGTCGATCATGCCCTGAACTCTTGTACTCTATATATTAAAAAAAAAAAAAGTCAAAGGCACTGCAAGGTATGCAAGGTATTACCGTGTTCCATAGTTTGTGCGTTATCAGCACACTTTCCACTATTTCGATGTGTGGCAGAATCTTGCATGTGTAACTCACTGGTGGAAGCACCACCATTTTGCTGTGTTCCTCGCTTGGCGATCCCACCACTGTTTTTACTTCGGCTGGTAGTGGGTGTCGAGGTACTTAGAGAAATGTTAGTAGAGTGTCGGCGATACTGGGGAGTAGCACATAAAAGGTCATTGAGGATGTGAATGATGGTGGATATATCCCGCTTTGGCCGTCCCTGCCTGTCCTGAAGTGCTGGGTTCAGGGTTCCTAAAATAAAGCAGAGAAATTTTGTATAAAAAATAATGCAATAATATTGAAACCTACATCAGTATGCTGCTTTAAGATGTTGAAATGCTGGTAAAATTTAATCATTAACATATTATTGTTCCCTTAAAGCTACAAAATACAAATTTTAATTCATTAACTGACGAGATACAATTTTTTTTGTGATCGTATTTTAACATGTCTGTAAGTGAATTTGAACAACAATTTTATATAGACTTAGCTGTAGCAAAATACACACAATACTGATATCTGCCTTAAAAGTTTTGGTTAAAATATCAAATGTAAATTACAATTTAATACAAATTAATTACTGTACCTGAGAAAGTGCCTGAGTACACCCCTTTGCCATGGTGATGCATACTCTCTATTATAGCTCCCTGCTTCTTAATGCCTCCGCTGCCACTACTGCTGCTGCTGCTACTACTACTCGCACTGCTGCTGTTGCTACTGCTGCCTCCGCCACCGCTGCTGCATCCACTGCCATTCCCATTGCTGCCACTGCTAATGCTGCTGCTGCCACTACTGGTGCTGCTGCTGCTGCTGTTACCAGAGCTGCTATTACTACTACTACTGCTGCTGCTACCACCCAATGAACCAAGAGATGCTGTCGCCACCTCATGGGGAGTAATAGTATCCTGGAAAACAATCTTTCATGAGCAAAATTCATGAGAGGGATTTCATCTTGCCCCACAAGATACAATAAATGCCTGAATTTTAAAAATTTGGCATTTTCAACAAATTCAGTACAGTATTTTCATTTTTATGCTTACGCTTATTATAAGTATTTATGCTTTATGCTTTTATGCTTGAAATATTAGAAAATGTTTTAAAATTGAAATAATTAATGTAGAGTACAATACAGTACTTCAAAATCAAAATGAACTACATAAAGCATTTCAAAATTATCTCACCTCCTTCTGTTCTGGCTTCGATGTTAAGACCTCCGATGACAACTGTTTTAGTGTCTGAGTTAGGTTACGGGAAGCCTCGGCTAGTGCCTTGGTGTCTAAGGATGCCCTGGGATCAGTTTCTTCACCCCTGTGTGGGCATCCTCTGACAGGAAGCTCACCATCGAATCCCAGACCAGATGGCGAACTAGTGTTTGAGCCACTTGAGGAGGAGGAGGTGGGACTGGTGGGGGTGGTAGGGGTGCCTGGCGTTGGCCGGAGGTGGTGGTGATGGTGATGGTGGTGGTGATGTGGAGGAGTAGCTAAGTATGGTGGTGGAGGGGAAGATGGGGAACCACACCCCATACTATGATGATGATGATGATGATAATGATGTAACAGATTATGTTGGTGGTGTAAGGTTGCTGATGCAGAGGAGGGGGATGAGGAAGTGGAAGAAGAGGTAGAAGATGGAGATGAAGGAGAGTTGGATACTGTAGAATTAGAGGACGCTGTCTGACTAGGGTTAATGGTCACGGAAGCTGGGATTGACGATTGGCTGGACAAATGAGAGGTGTGCACAGGAGAATAGCCTGAACACGTAGCATGAGGGGTGTATGGTGGTGTAAGAGCATGGGCATGTGCAGATGTTCGTGCAGCACCACCATGATCAAGATGGGAGTGCGTATGAGCGTGTGTGTGTGTGTGGCTGTGAGTATGAGTGTGGGTATGTGCATGATTGTGTGTGTGGGCATGAGTGTGGGTATGACTGTGTGTGGGTTGAAGGCGGGTCTTCCTTGAGCCACCAGGTGACACTGTGGACAGCTGGAGTTGGATGAGCATCATGTGGTCCCCAAGGCGCATCGTTAGATTTAGTGGGGCCTTGCCTGTCAGGAAGTCGTTCACCTGGAAAGTAAGATTTAAAATTTACCTACATGTGGTAATGATTATGCAAATTCTTAAGTAAATATATATTATATTCAGAATTTTGCTACCTATTTTCTAAAGTTTTTCCTTTTAATAAAGTTAATGTAACAACCTGAAAGTTATTTAATCATGGAAATATTTATGGAATGCTATTGCAACAAATGGAGATCGTTACCAAAATATGCCAGACTGCATTACTACAGTATTAAATTTATCAGAGAAAAACTGGAAGTGTAAGAGTTAATCCATTATCGTGATGACAGCGAGAGCTCTGAAAATGGTCTGTGATACTGACAGGTAATTGTGCTTTTATTAAATATGCATTTATGTAACTACTGATTTAACCACTGTATCATGTTCTTCTGTACATATTTTTAAAATAAAATTATTGTTAATAACTTAAATGATCAGGATACATACGAATTAAAAAGAATTTGTAAAAATTGGTTAACTTATGTTGATAAAGTGTTAAAGCATTACTTGGATAATGTGATGGACAATGGTGTAAAATTTAAGAATTTGTAGTAGGAAATGCAGGAAATTATGTAAATGTGTCAGAGACAGTATTTAATGTAGCTGTTGTGTGGTGTATAAATTGTGCGTGTCACCAATGTATGTGTGAGTCATAACAGGTGTGGGGGGTTTACCTGTGTTTTACTTATGACTTTTTGAGAGTTCTTTAGAGACTACCTAGAGGAGCAGGCTTTTCTTGATGATGCCTTCACTGGCAACGCTGTCAGTGGCAACAACCTGCAGGGCCCACATATCCATCACAACTACATCTACCTTTAGGTGGTTTTAGGGAAATTTGTCAAAGCATATCGGACTCTGAACAAGCCTCCCGGTTGGAAGTCTAATCAACCAAATTGTTGGTAGCTATTACTTGCAGTAAGATGTAGAGAGCTGCAGTTGTTAGTAATGCCCTTATATTTTGGCAAAGGATTTATGAGAAGTCTTGGGCCCCTTGTTAATTGCTTTGTTAAAGTCTTGGCCTTTGTCAAAGTCTTGGCCCCCTTGTTAAAATTTAATTGTGTAGGCCTACTAATTGCACCCCCCACTTTTCAGAAAAGCTGTTTTGCACATTTTGCCATGATACCTGGTTTCACAAGACATTACTTTGATCCTGCAAAAATATCCCAAATTTCCACTTTCAAAATGTCAACAGTTACTTGTGCAAGATTTCTCCTACATTTGCTGGAAGATGGCTGAAACATTGGGGAGGTATAGCCTTTAATATTCATTGTTGTGCTTTTGCCGCCTTTCTTTTTGTGGGTATCCTATACTGTATAGTACTTCTACCCTATAGTTCAATCCAATGTCATTGTGCAGGTTGAGGAGCAGAGCTTTGAGTATATTATGTATAAATATTGTGATCTCTCTCATCTTTCACAGCACCGCTCCTGTGCCAGGTAAGTCCACTATGGGCTCACCATAGCCCGTGCTACTTGGAACTTGTTCCGAGTAGCTGAATTTATAACAACAACAACAACTCTCATCTTTATTCTAAGAGTGCCTCGAGATAGTTCAAAATAAATGTAGGTAGTGTATTTTACTGTGTCTGTGTAAAGTTTATGATTACTGAATTCCTAATATTTCAGATATCTCACCTGCCCTGAAAGAGGAAGTGAATACAGAGCAGAATTTCAAACAAAAACAAAGTATTTCAAACAGAGGATCAATGAAGAGGCACCCTTTGCTTGCTTTGAAGGTCCTTATAATCCATACAATAATTTTCCTGGCAAATAGCAAGTTCAATTTATAATTGCATTTAGTATCCTGTATACATTTTGTTTTCTTAGTAGGTAGAATTTGTCAGTTGACAATCATGTTTACTGAGTCATGTCAAGTGTGTTTGTCATATGAAGGTGATATGACAGGTGTGTTGGTGTTCCAAATATTATTAACATAGGGGGAGGGGTGAATTTCATGTGTCAATGGATGTAGGAGTGTTAAAGGTTTGTAGGTGTCCACATGAGTGTGTGGGTTGAGGAAAGGACTCACCTGACCATCATTGAGACTCTCCAGAGCTTGCATGACACTCTGTTCTGGCCTCTGCGTCTGTAAGCAACAAAAATGGTTCGTTAGACACTTAAAACATTGTATGATATTATAATACTGTTTTACTGTAGAATGACATGAAAAGGGATTTATTTAATATTAATCTTCCCTAGCTAACCCTCAAATACCTGCTTGACTACACACATTTGGACTTTCCACAGTACATTAGCCTTGGCCTACAATAATCCAAAACTTTTACAATATCTTTACTAGGAGAGGGTTCTGAGAATTCTACTCCCAAGTCCGATCTGGGGCAGGCTTGACTTTTGAAAACTTGGCCAAACAGGCTACTGCTTGAAGTGGCCCACAGGCCCATATATCCACTACAACCTGGTTGATCTGGTACTTTTTGGGCAAATTTGCCTAATTGCTGCTTGAAGTCCAGCTCTGTTCTGGCTTTTTATGCTTTTAGGGAAGATATTTAAGAGCCATAGAGATTGAAGTTCAATGCTCTCTGATTGTGCCTATGGCATCTCTACTCACTGGTTCTATTTTGCATTTCCTTTCATATCGTTTGCTCCAGTATGTTTTATTCTGAAAATTTGGGACCTGACCTTCCAGTATCTTCCATGTATATATTATTTGATACCTCTCTATCTTCTTTCCATAGAGTGCATTTTGAGAGCTTTGAGATGGTTCCAATAATTTAAGTGCTTTATCATGTCTATGCGTGCCGTACAAGTTTTCTGTACAGTATTCCCTCTGTTTCGGAAATCTCTCCTGCTCTGTAAGGGAGAGCAAGTACGAAGCAGTTCTCAAGGCAGGGCATCACCAGTAATTTAAATAGTATTAGCAATGTTGTGGAATCCCTAGATTTGAACATTATCATAATCCATCCTGTCATTTTCCTGCTTGATATATTTGCTAGGTTATGGTCAAGCCTGGTATGGTGTGTGTGTGCCTAGCCTCGGACCGGGCTTGGGGAGTAGAAGAAAGCCTCGGACCGGGCTTGGGGAGTAGAAGAACTCCCAGAACCCCATCAAGCAGGTAGTCACTAAATGTCTGGTTATCAGACATTATAACTCCAGGATCTTTTAAATGTTGCTTTCCTTTTGTAAGTACAGTAGGTCTGATTGTGTCTTGTACCCTGTACTGTATATGATTTTGTTCATTTCAACCACACCTAAATACCTGGAAGGCTATTGATATTAGCATGTAATTTTCTTCAAAAGTAATTTGCTGATTTTTGTATCATCTACAAAGGCTGAAACAAAGCTATGATTTGTATTTTTGTCTATATCTGATGAGAATGAGAAAAGCAGTGGTGTAAGAACTGTTTCCTGGGAGTACAGAACTTTTCACTGTGCATCAACTTTATTTGATTTTACTGTTATATTCTTTACATTGGGTTTGACAGAAATGTTAAAAATTCAGTACCCTACTTCACCCATTATTCCTACTGATCTCCTTTTATGGTCTTTCTCCACGGTCACACTTATCAAATGCCTTTGCAACAAATATATGAAACATTGCCAGAATAAAAGTGGATGTGTTCAAGAAACAATTGGACAAGCTCGTGCAGAAAGTGCCAGACCAATTAGTCTGTACTGGAAATATGGCCATTTAAATTTTGCCTCAGAGGGCTAGTTTATTGGTCAGCGTCACTACCTGCGACGGACCGACGGACTGCCATATCAAATGGGCTTGTGGGCTGCTCCACATTATCACAAGACAACCTTGGCCCTAGGCTTGGGAACCAGAAGAGCTCTCAGAACCCACTCCAGGTATATGATCTACACAAGGGTGATGGACACAACCAGGAAACTGTTGACCTGTCAGGAAGCACTGCCACGGTGTAAACCAACGGGCCTCCAGCTCGTCCCAGCATCCCTGCTAAGACAAAGGCAGCAGTAGAGGCAATAGGGGCCCTGCCACTACCAGCAGAGGTAATACCGAGCCCTTTACCGCTGTAAGAGCATAAACAAGCAGGTGAGGACCCACCAGTGTATTCCTTCCACCTAAACTAGCAGGATAACCTCTCCAAGAAAGTCCATATCTGCATTTCCATGTATCCATTATATATGTCAAACTGTACACAAAAAAGCAATGGGTAAGCTGTAGTTGCAGCTCTCCCCTAACTTGTTACCTTGGAGACGGGCGTCCTTATCTCCCCTCGCCCCTAACAAACTCGTCCCCTCGCTGGCCAGAGGGGACCCAACCTCCGCAAGAATGGAAAGGGAAATGCAGAAAAAATAATTGCCAGAGAGAGAGAGATAGAGAGGGAGATAGAGAGGGAGATAGAGAGAGAGATAGATAGAGAGATAGAGATAGTGAAAGATAGAGGGAGATAGAGAGAGATGATACCTGGGAGATAGGTCAACCGATAACATGAAGGCTCTGGCATACAGTTGGCTACTGGCTCAACCTGTTCCTTATGTGATTGTTACTTATCGCTAATAACTTCTTTTTTTTTAACTCGACCCCCGCCACCCAGGATCACCCCATGCACTACAAACCGTAACCAATACACCATTGATCGTTTGACGATCAATCGTCTAACAATCGTCTCAGACGAGCAATGATGTAGTGGTTCCAGTATCCTTTATGCCAAGAGGTGATCCCGGGAGAGCGAAAGAAAAGATAAGAAAGATGAGAGGGGGAGAGGGAGGGAGAGAGGGATAGATATTATATATATATATATATATATATATATATATATATATATATATATATATATATATATATATATATATATATATATATATATATATATATATATATATATATATATATAAATATATATATATAAATATATATATATATAAAGAAAGGAAGAAAGAAATAGCAAGACAAATAAAGTTGGAGAAAGGAAGAGAGGGTAGGTTGTGATGCAAGGGATTACAGGAAAGCCAGCGACACAGCATGGAGCACCAGAGGATAAAACGCAGAACGGAAGAACAGAGAGGAGGGAAGACTGATAGGAGGAAAAGTCACGAGGAATTGTGATGTATGTACGAGAAAAGCAGGACCCCAAACCAGCAGCGGGAAGGAACTCGGAACAGAAGGGAAAGCAGCAACAACATGGCCTCTGCCTGCTTGATGGGGTTCTGGGAGTTCTTCTACTCCCCAAGCCCGGCCCGAGGCCAGGCTTGACTTGTGAGAGTTTGGTCCACCAGGCTGTTGGTGCTGGTCCTCTGCCATAAGGTGCGGCAGCGGACGGCATCTAGAACTTGTTACGCAGACTTTCCTGCATCTCGCCTGTTTTTCTTCTAGTCTGAAGCAGCAAAACAAAGGCAACAGCTCCCCTGGCGCTAATCTAGGTCTATCGCCCCCTGCCGCCTCCGTCACTCGGGAGACGCCGCTGCCAGTCTACTTCTCCTCTTCTAACTTGTGAATGCCGTTTCTTTTGATATTGTTTGTTGTTGTTAATTGTGCTTCTGTTGTTACTGACGTTGCTGGTATTATTGTATATTGCTACGACTGCTGCTGCTGATGTTATTAACGATTGTATTATTGATGCTGCTACTATTACAGCTACTGTTGTTGGTGCAATAAATTATGAGGAGGATTAAAACAGAGGATGATAGTAGGAGGCTACAAGATGATCTAGGCAGACATGAGTCCAACAAATGGCTACTAAAGTTCAACCCGAGTAAATGCAAGGTCATGAAACTAGGCGGTGGAAACAGGAGGCCAGACACAGGATACCTAATGGGAAATGAAGTACTTCATGAAATGGACAGAGAGAAAGATCTAGGAGTTGATATCACACCAAACCTGTCACCTGAAGCCCACATAAAAAGAATTACATCTGCGGCATATGTGAGGCTGGCTAACATCAGAACAGCCTTCAGGAACCTGTGTAAGGAATCATTCAGAACCTTGTACACAGCATATGCAAGACCAATCCAGGAGTATGCGGCCCCAGCATGGAGCCCGTCCCGTACCTTGTCAAGCACAAGACGAAGCTGGAAAAAGGTCAGAGGTATGCCACTAGGCTAGTCCCAGAACTAAGAGGCATGAGTTACGAGGAAAGGCTGCGTGAAATGCACCTCACGACACTGGAAGACAGAGTAAGAGGAGACATGATCATGACCTACAAAATTCTCAGAGGAATTGATAGGGGTAGATAAGGTGGTACGCGAACAAGGGGACACAGGTGGAGACTGAGTACCCAAATGAGCCACAGGGACGTTAGAAAGAACTTTTTCAGTGTCAGAGTAGTTAACAAGTGGAATGCATTAGGCAGTGATGTGGTGGAGGCTGACTCCATACACAGTTTCAAATGTAGATATGATAGAGCCCAGTAGGCTCCGGAAACTGTACATCAGTTGATTGACGGTTGAGAGGCGGTACCAAAGAGCCAGAGCTCAACCCCCGCAAGCATAACTAGGCGAGTACACATGGATTCAAAAGTATTTATGATAGGGTCTATAAATTTAGCTAGGACTAAGCTGGATAAAGGTACTGACATGAGAAGCTAACCTCAACCCAAACTCCCCACTCCCGTCCTCTTATCGCCTCACCCCCCTCCCCCTCGCTAACCAATCTCCCCCCTTATCTTGTCTGAATAACACTCCCCTCTTCAAGAGCTGTATCTACCCCTCTACTACATCCACATCTCCCCTCGCATCCTCCCTACGACGCCATCCTTCCCACTCTCCTTCAAGCACTTTTCTTACCCTCGTAGTGTTATAATCTGTTTCTTCTCCCATTCTGCCTCTCTTCTGTTCCCCCAGTGTGTGCCTCAGCACACCGCCAAGTTGACAGCAGAAAGCTGAACAGTCTACAGGTCTAACTTGGTTCATAACTTGGTCTGCTTCTCTTGTCCCCCCTTCCTTCCGTCCTCTCTCCCTCTCCCTATCCTTCCCTCCCTCTCTCTCTCCCTCATCTCTCTCTCTCATCTCTCTCTCTCCCCCTTCCCCTCATCTCTCTCCCTCACCTCTCCCTCTCTGTCTCCATCTCATTTACGCCCAGAGGCGTTCAATAATGGCCACAAGTTCGTCGTTTCTGTGCTGGACAAGACCTCGCCCCCGCTGCCGTGTCCAACAGGCTGGTGGATCATATGTTAGAGAACAAGCGTGAACACGAAGCTTC